GTTTCTAGAACAAACATTTTTCTTTCCTGTTGTGCTTCTCTATCTTTCCATGTACACACAAATTCATCTGTATACAAAAACACCATGTTGCACGTTATTTTCAAATAGAATATAAATTCTTAGTTGAGTTTGCAAAAATCAACTTTTCGAAATAATCCAGGTGCTTTGATGATCCAGCAGGCGAAAGAGGAAGATCAGGGAAAATATGAATGTGTTGCAAGGAATACACTTGGTGTTACTCATTCCAAAGCTGCTCATCTCTATGTTAAAGGTTTTACTTTTTGAGTTTTACATCTCTACGTCAAAGGTTACTTCATGAGACCAGCTGAATTTTCCTCCTCATTATGCCAGTTGGCATTTTTCCTCAAATTCAGAATTTTGACTCAAATTTACCGACAAGAAAGAACGCCATCTCGTCAACCACTGATTCATCAAGATAACAGGCTGGTACTGTCATAGGTTGAGAAATTGAACTAGCCTCATCTCGCTGTCAAGCCATTTGTGGATGGAGCACTATAATGAGCCTCACCAAGGGCAGGGGTTTCGTTCAAAAGTACAATCATATTCGGTCTGTTTTCAATCCTCGTGTATAAATTCAGGACAAACGCTAAAACCTCTTTGGTATTCACGCTCTGTGAAAAAATTCGAACGGTTGCAAGCAACAACAGCAACTGTCCGCTAGCAAAGCTGTCGACGACTCCCCTGTTCAGGAATTGCTTAGAATCAATCTGATAGCGAGTACACATAAACTATGCTTTGAAAATTTGTTAAATTTTCAATTAAATGGCTTAATTTAATTGATTTTGCCAAAGACTATTGGTCAAAATCGATTTAGATAATGAAAGGCAAAAAATTTGTTTACAAAACAAACTTTCAAACATCTGATTGCGTGTTGTTTCATCGTCGCGCCTCTTTCCCACTGAAAAAACTGACAAAGCTTTGGCCTTTCTCATCTACATAATTTCATACAGCTCGTCAAACGAATTCTTCCAGTGCAAAAAATTGTCACAGTGACTGTTAGTACTAGAATCACGCTTCGCTACCAAAGAGTAGTGCGGCTGCACTAGAATTTTAACAGTTCTCATCCATGCTTTTTTGGCAAGCATAGAGCATGCTCAACTATTTATTTTTAATAGGGTATGGAAGAAAAATCCAGAAAAAATATCCTTGAATGTGCGAATTTTGATAAATTATTACTTTAATAATAGCTGAATTTTTTGTTTTTACTTTATCGGTTTTCCAGTTCGTCGTGTGCCTCCATATTTTTCTTATAAACTGGAACGGGTGTATAAAACTGCGCCAGGCGGTGCACTCAATTTAACTTGTGTAGCAGTCGGTTATCCAATGCCACGAGTGTTCTGGAAGAAATCCGATGACACCTATTTGAATGACCCACAAACTGCGCCCATTGGTTAGTTTCTCTAAACTAAATATGAAATATGCAAATGCAGGGTTATTAGTGAGTGCACAGCATCCTAATAAAATCATTGATACGCGGCACATACACACACACACACACACACACACACACACACGAATTGCCTGGAAGCTCCGACATTCTTTGTGTAAGATTAGCAATAGATTTTCGAAAATCCATTAGTAGAATTTTACGTCCACTGTTTACAACTTAAAAGCA